AATTATGTTAAAAGTATCTAGACCAAAATATTAACTTAACTATGGGGGTGTTTGGCAACAAGAGGTTTAGGCTATTATAGCCTCTTTTGGAAAATTAGCCCATAAGCCCCTACTGTAGCACCTTTTTCTCTGATTTTCAAAATAAAAAAATAAAAAAAATAGGCTGCTGCACGGGACAGTGTAGGCACAGCCTACACTGTCACAGCCGCACAGTGTTACATCAAGGGCAAAATTACCATTTACCATTTTGCCCCTTTATATCAATTTTAAAAATAAAAAAGTTAGGGATAAATCTGTCATTTTAAATTTAAACATCATTTCAACACACTTTCCAATACAACAACTCAACTAAAAATTTATCTCATCTTCCCAAACACAAAACTAAAATAACCTACTAAAATAGCCAAATAGCCAAATGGCCTACTAAAATAGCCACTTCCCAAACGAGGCCTATATATCTCATGTCTTACATTTGTAAGTCCTACTTTTCTCAAACTCATTTAAAATGCAATTATCTCGACTCTCTATCTTGATTGTAAGTATATATTTCATCATCATGTGTAATGCTACAGTAAGTACACATTTTTTATCTTTTTTCCATCACATCATCTCTCTACTTTTATGCACATCTTTTCATAAAAAGATAAAAAGTACACTTATTTAGGTCATCTCAAACAACCCCTAAGTATATATTTCATCATCATGTGTAATGCTACAGTAAAATTTTCAATTTTATTAGGTTATTTTGATTTAAAAAAAAAGTTGTTTATTTTGATGTGACTTATGGTTTTGTTAAAAAAAAACATAATAATAATACTCAATGTTTTAAAAAATAACTAACTTGCCTACAAATGAAAAGAAAGAAGAATAAAAAACTTCGGTTCAAATTTGCCTAGTTAGTCTTGGGCAGAAAAATTCAAACTTGGATTGGCCTCGAACAAACATAGGCTGGAAATCAAACTTAAATTAATACAACTCGAATTAGAACTACACAACTCCTCTTCCCAATCGAGCACACCTAAATTACACCTTTAATTACAATAACATCGAGATACTGAACAATTATTACAAGATTGAATATATTTTTTGGGCAATGGTAGAGGGCCACAATTTTTGTGACTCAAATGGCTCAAAACTGTCAAAACGACGTCGTTTTGAGCACAAAACATGCCAAAACGATGTCGTTTTGACAGTTTTGAGCCATTTGAACCACACAAATTGTGGCTCTCAAACATTATTCATATTTTTTATACGTCCTTATTTTTATTTGTTGACTAGGAGAAGAATTAAATGTTAAAAAATTATTTTTAAAATTTATCTAAACAAATGAAATATGATGAAAAAGGTATTGAAAATTTCAAAAATAGATAAATACAAAAAAAAAAATTTATGAATACTAGGTAAAATATTTATTTATTTATTTATTTTTGGTGTGTGCGCTAAGATTGTAAGATATTAATTTGTTAGTAAAATTATATTACAATTAAAAAAGTTACCGTTACTCCATTAGTTCGAACTTCTAACCTTCTCCCCACCGCATCTTAGGTTTCGTTTGATAAGTGGGTTGACTTTTTAGTTTTTTTTTTATCTTTTTGGCTATTTTAGCTTGGGACTAAAAAGCCTGGTTTAGAAGGACTTTTGGTTTTTTTGACTTTTTTATGAGGGAAAGAATTTAATGATTATGGATTGAATGTGATGTTTTGTCTTATTAGGTTAAAAAACCTATTTTGTTTTTTGTGATTATTTTAATCCAAAAAATTATCAAACCCGACTTCCCAAACATAGGCTTAAGGTGTGACTACAAGACTAAGGGATAATTCTATTTCCACACACTAAATCCCTTCAGGCCACACACTTAGGTCATATTTATTTGGGTAGACATGAGTTTAGGATTAGACTAATAGTCTAATAAAATTATTAATTCGATGTTTGGTTAAACAATTGAAGTACAGACTAACAATCCATCCGGATATGATATTCCACACATGATGGACTATTCAATCCCACAGAGCGGGGTGGGATATAAATTTGAGGACTAAGTCAAAGTCTGGATTATTAGTCCCACAGAGCGGGGTGGGATATAAATTTGAGGACTAAGTCAAAGTCTGGATTATTAGTCCCTCCTTATAATCCTATAGGATAGGATACATAATTCAAAAGGATTCGTAGTCCTATAACTATTAATCATGAGAATGCTAATCCAACCTAATCTAGTCTGCCCAAACAAACATAACTTTAATGAACACTTTCTCAGAGCATATATCAAAAAAAAAAAAAAATTCTCAGTACACATCTCTTCATTCCAACAATGCCCTTATCTTTTATTTTCAAAATTTATCATCCAACTATTCTTCTTCTTTCGAAAAACTTGGAATGTCACCACTACTATTGATGTCACCACCACCACCACAACTCTTAGCCCTCCATTGCCACCGCTACTCTTAACCCATCTCCGTTTTAGTCTAAGGGGTTGTTTGGGATGACTTAAATAAGTACATTTTTTGTCTTTTTACGAAAAGATGTATAGAAAAGTAAAGAGAAGATGTGACAAAAAAAAGATAAAAAGATAAAAAGTGTGTACTTATTTATAATAGCCAAACTTGACCTAAATCTCTCTAATATACCCTTGCTACCCACCATTTATTCACAACCCTAATCTCTATGATCTTCTCTGCCACGGTCTCAACCTCTATAAATTTTTTTATTACTGTGAACCCAACATTTGCAAACCTTAGATTCATTCGACGGTTGGGGAAATTATTCAATACTCCCGGAGCACCACGTGTCCATACTCCAAACCAATCACCAATCAGTTAGCCCCATGTTGTCCCCCATCTCCAACATAAATCGTGGGCCCTTGTGTCTCTCCACCAATCAAAACATTATGGAGCACCACGTGTCCATACTCCGGGACTACTGAATAATCACCCATAAGGTTGATGTCTAGTCAAATATATGAATGTGTATTGAGAAAATAGAAAAGATAAAAAAATGTTTTAAATGATAATTTAATTAAATAATAATTTAATTTAAAAAAATTCATTAAATGTGTGGCAGAGGAAATTTAGAGTTGTTTAGGATGAACTATATAAGTGCACTTTTTAACTTTTTAATTAAAAAAATAGAGAAAAAAATGATTATTTAAGATAATTTTTTAATTTTTTATAAAAATAATATATATTAAAATATTGTATCAAATACTAAAATCACAGTATTATCCTATCAGTACGACATGCGTACCGTGCATGTCAGTACAGTTGTCTTTTTTCTTTTACAAAACTGTGGTGGGTAGTCGGGTTTGTTTGTCTTTTCCTTTCTTTTTCTTTGTTTTTCTTTTTCCTGTTCCCAATGAAGGATATTTATGTCGTTTTGCCCTCTGTCTAAGATTTTTTTTTTTTCTTTCTGCCAAACATATAAATAATGTTAACTTTTTAATTTTTTTTAATAATTTTTTAATTTTTTGTCCTTTGTATGGTATGTCAAATACTTACTTAAGCCTCGTTTGATAATTTTTTATTTTAGTCAAAAAAAAATTATTATAAATCATCATATTATTTTTTTTATTTTTTCATATATTTTTTTTTGTAAAAATTTAAAAAACTACTAAAGTATTCTGGTTCAAACGAGCCTTAGGCCTAGTTTGGGAAGACTAAGGCCTAGTTTGGGAAGACTAAATATGTGCACTTTTTGACTTTTTATGAAATATGGGTTGGATTTGGGTTGGGTTTGAAGTGATATGTTAGAGAGGTAATGTGACTTAAATGAGATGATGTGACTTAAATAGGATAGTGACTTTTTGACTTTTTATCTTTTTTCAATCATGCCAAACTTGGCCTAAATAAGTACAATTTTTGACTTTTTATGAAATATGGGTTGGGTTTGGGTTGGGTTTGAAGTGATGTATTAGAGAGGTGATGTGACTTAAATAAAATGATGTGACTTAAATAAGATAGTAACTTTTTGACTTTTTATCTTTTTTCAATCTTCCCAAACTATGCCTTAATATGTGAAAATAGAATTAAGCCGGCAAAAAAATGAAAACAAACCCATTGAACTGGAAACCGGCTTCTCTCTTCTCCGCTCCCTTTGTTTTCTCCATTTCCTTCCGTATATTCAAACCTTTCTTCGATACACTCGGGTTTTTTTCTGCAAACCATGTGAATAATGTCTACTTTTTCAATAATTTTTTAATCTTTTGTCTTTTGTAGGTATTTCAAATACTTTGGCTAGGTTTGGCATAACCTATATAATCCATCTTTTTATCTTTTTTTTCATCACATCACCTCTCTACTTTTCTATACATTTTTTCGTAAAAAGATAAAAAGTGCACTTTTTTAGGACACCCCAAACCAACCCTTTCTTAGATCTCGTTGGACAATTTTTTATTTTTGTTAAAAAATTATTATAAATTATCATATTATTTTTTTATTTTTTTATATATTTTTTTTGGTAAAAATTTAAAAAATTATTAAAATATTCTGTTTCAAACGAGCCTTAGGCCTTGTTTGGTTTGTATTTGAGAAATATGTTTTGAGATAAAAAGTACGAAAATTTGTTTGGTTTAATTTTTTTTCAAAAGATGTTTTGAAAAATTATTTTGAGAGATGAAAATAGAATTAAGCCGGCAAAAAAATGAAAACAAACCCGTTGAACTGGAAACCGGCTTCTCTCTTCTCCGCTCCCTTTGTTTTTTCCATTTCCTTCCGTACATTCAAACCTTTCTTCGATACACTCGGGTTTTTTTCTGCAAACCATGTGAATAATGTCTACTTTTTCAATAATTTTTTAATCTTTTGTCTTTTGTATGGTATTTCAAATACTTTCTTAGATCTCGTTTGATAATTTTTTATTTTAGTTAAAAAATTATTATAAATTATCATATTATTTTTTTATATATTTTTTTTGTAAAATTTTAAAAAATTATTAAAATATTCTGTTTCAAACGAGCTAAAATGTGAAAATAGAATTAAGCCGGCAAAAAAATGAAAACAAACCCATTGAACCGGAAACCGGCTTCTCTCTTCCCCGGTCCCTTTGGTTTTTTCCATTTCCTTCCGTACATTCAAACCTTTCTTCGATACACTCGAGTTCACAGAAAGTGAGTATCCCCCAAAATTTCTCTCTGAATCCCAACAGATCACCATACTCAGAATCCAAAACCCTAGGTCCGACATTCACAATCATAGATACAGTTTTCTAGAGAGAGAAAAATTGTTGATTTTCAGATTAGAGTGTATTTGTATGAGAGAGAGAGAATTCTGATTGGAGCCCTAGAAATCCGCAGCAGTGATGGCGTCGTCGAAGGTGATGGCGTCTTCGACTTCGAGAAATTCGGATCAAAGACGAAGGTCTTCGTCTTCAGCATCTACAAAATCCTCATCGATCTCCGATCTCCACAACCACAAAAATCACAACAATAACAAAATCAACAACAAAAACATAAACAATTTAGGCTCAATGACCGTCGATGGCCTTTTGAGGAACGTCTATGGCGACAATCAACCCGCAGACAACACATTGCTCGACGCCGAGATCACTTTATTGGATGCCGCCGGAGCTGTGACGGCGATCAGCGATAACGACGGCGGAGAGGCTCCGACGATGACGAACAAGACGGTGGATGATGTGTGGAAGGAGATCGTGGCTGGCCGGAGTGTGAGGAGGGAGTGTAAGCAGGAGGCTCCGGATGAGATGATGACTTTGGAGGATTTTCTGGCGAAGGCTGAGGCGGTGGAGGAGGAGGAGGATGTGAAGGTGGAGCCGGTGGTGGCGCCGGTGGAGAGATTGAGCGGAGGGATGTTTGCGTTTGATCCGATGCCGCCGTTGAGTTCGTTTCAATCACAGCAAAGTGTTGATAGCGTGATAGGGTTTGGAAATGGAGTGGATGGGATTGGAGGGAGAGGGAAGAGACGAGCTGTTTTGGAGCCCATGGATAAGGCTGCTCAGCAGAGACAGCGGAGGATGATTAAGAACAGAGAGTCTGCGGCCAGGTCGAGGGAGCGAAAGCAGGTAAAGTTACCTTTTTTCAGACCCTTTTGTTTTTATGGTGTTGATGAATTTGATTGATTACGGTTTCGTGGTTTCAATTGTAGGCTTACCAAGTTGAACTAGAATCTTTAGCTGTGAAATTAGAGGAGGAAAATGAAAAGCTGCTGAAAGAGAAGGTAAAATCATATAATATTTGAGAATGATCTAGAATTGTTTTTGCCTGTTAGGCCTAATTTCTAAATAATTGGAAATTGTTGAATAGTATTGGTGAGTATGTTAATAAGTTTGGGGTTTATTTGTTGGATTTATTTCATTTTGATGTAACACATTGCTAAATTGCTAAAGCAGAATAGGCTTTTACAAACAATTGGATGAAGCGATATTTCATTAATGATTAGAACTTTCCTGGCCATCTAATTAGAGGATGTCATGTAGCAATCATGTTCAATAATGAAGTTAGATTTTACGTTTGCTTTTGGGCCTCGCATATTTATTTGAGATGCATGTGCTTCCCGACAAGAACTGTCATTTCAGCTTGTCAAAACTTACTTCCTCAGATAAAGAGTTCTATCAATTACAATGGAAACCAACACAATTTTTCTTATTTGGTCATGTCACTAGTCTACTTTAACCAAAACTGAACCATCTTAATCAGTATTCTCTAATAATCTATTTGTCATGTTATTGTTGCATCTGGTACGGCCGTTTGCTGCCCTATCTTCAATATTCTCATTTGCCTCAATATCCTCTTGCTTCTTACCTGTAACTTATGGATACGTCATTTCTTGCTTGCCATATTTCTTTCTTTTATATTTGTACTTCTTGGTTGCTTGAAATTATGTGACGCAAAGCCTAGTTGTTTTTATTAGATGTAGGATGATGTTACTAAAATTTTGAGGGGTATCCACTTGTTTTAAAAGGAGTTTCTTTGGTGCGCTACAAGGCGAGATGCACCCAAAATGCATCGAAGCATTGAAGTTTAAGTGATTCACCTATTATGTGTACACCTTTATGATAACACATTTGCCTCGTGTAAAAAAAGCCGAACCTTTCGTGCATAACGTGTTAAGACGTACAAATGAAAATTGCAAGTGAATCGTCTAGTTCATGAGACAAAGCGGTTTGAATCAGTTAAAACTACTGAAATTGTGCTAAACCAGGTGGTTTGAACTGCATAAAAGCTCATCATTATGTTGTGCAAAGTAACCCAACATATGCTGCCCACGTGTCCAACAGGTGTAGTAATCCATAGCCTTTTACCTCATACATCTTCGTCTCTTGCTTGATGTGGGACTCCAAACAAAATCTAAGTTTCATAACTTGTTTTTATTGTGTAATAATGTTTGCCTCAAAAGGCATGTAAACCAGCGATGTGGGATTCATTACAACTTTTTTTGTCTTTTTGTTTTTCTTGGTGACTGATCAATTGACCTGAACAAGATTGGTGAATTACGTCTATATACACATTGAAAAAACGTGAGAAATATCAATCTATTAATTAAAAATAAAATGTGAAAAAATATCAAGTAAAAATGCACCTATATTGATATATTAATTAAAGCATTCGGATCCTCTGGAGTCTGTGTTTCCTGCAGTTTTTGTGGAGTGAACAAAATGACATCATTTTACTTTCAAGACCAAAAAAATAAAATAAATAAAAATAAAAACAGAACGTAGAGAAAGAGGAGAAGACTGCTAGAAATCTGCTGGAAGAGGCAGACTGCCGGAGCAATCTACATCACCAACCCCAGCCTTGCCAGCCGACCTCTTCCTCCTCGTTCTACGCAGTCTGCCGCCTCCATTCTCTCCTCCTTGTCCTTCGCTTCTTTGGTGTGACCTTAAGGTCCATAACGGAATGGCCCCACTCCACCTCCGCTGGTGCCCCACTCTGCCAGAGAATCTGTCTCTTGTGCCTCTCTGTGCCTCCTCCTCCTTATTCTTCCCCCAACTCCCTAGATCTAGGGCTTTCAAAGATCAATTTGAATACATACATATACACATATACATCTATATGTATAACTTTCTCACATCACCACCAGATTTGAACAATTTTTTATATTGTGAAAGGAGGCGTAGTGCTAGACGAACTGAGTACAGTCGGCGCCGCTGTTTCTGAAAACCTAGGTTTTTCAGATTGGGGGAAGAAGAAGGAGAAAAAGAAGAAAAAAAAGGAGAAGGACGGGGAGGAGAGAAGGGGTGCAGAAGAAGGCATAGAAGGGATGGAGGAGGATAAGCGCAAGGAGAAGGACGGCCGGATATGGCTCTGGCGGCAGTAGGTGAAGGAGTGGCCACCGGCGTCTACCTCTCTCTTTCGTCCTTCATTCTGCGTTCTCTTAACCTTTTTTTTTTCTTCTACCTTGAAGTAAAATGACGTCATTTTGTTCACTTCACAAAAACTGCAGGAAACGATGTCATTTTGTTCTCTTTAACTCTTTTATTTATTTATTTATTTAATTTTTATTTAAGTAATACAGTATTTAAAAAATATAAAATAAAAATTCAAAACAAATGGTTTATGCCTCAACACCTCTGGACTTGTCTCACGACGGGTAAAAAGCATCTCTCCTTGTGCATTCGCCTTTGAAAACTTCACTCTCTGATAATTTTGGTTCTCTGTTTCTCCTATATCTGCACTGCACCAATACTTGCCATCTTGAGTCACTATGACAAGAAGGAAATATTGCATAGACCACAAAAGAATTTAGTGAACCAAGAATGTAGTCAAATGTGGTGATTCAGTGGTGTCCTTTCTCCGTGGATATAATTCTTGTAGTTAAATATGGTGATTCAGTAGTTAAAACTTTACTTTCTTGGTTCACGATACTGCATGGTAACTTATGAAGTGTATTTGTTGGCAATTTGTATGCTGAAGACCAAAGAAGCTTTTGTTTGTGACTCATGAAATTTTATTTTGCAACTGTTCATGTCCTGTCCAGCTTCTTCTAATGGAGTATAAATGAATTGCATTTGGATTACGAGCAAGTACTTAAGCTGAAGAATGAATATGAGCCTTGTTAAGTTTCAGTTAGTTAGGGAAATGGTTTTTGCTAAAAAAAAGTGGTTAACCATGAAATTTTTTGTTCCTACATGGACTGTAGGTCTGTATTTGTCAATGAATTGGGGAAGCAGAAGTTGAATTTCTCAATTTTGTTTGACAGCCTTACTTTCTGGTTTTGCAACATTGTATATAATCTCTATATTTTTTATGTTCAAGAGTGAGCCTGCAAGAGCGGATGGGCTGGAGTGTGTGCTATCCATCTTGGGATTTTTATTATATTCCTTTGGTGGCAACTTCAAAATATGTTGTTTATTGTTCTTTATTGTTTGAAACCTATGAACTAACAAATGATTTTCGAATGCAGGCAGAGCGACACTAGGGAAAGATTAGCAGGTATGAAATTAAATCTGCTACCTGGGCTCTCTCGCTTATCATTGTTATTATGGAATATAGTCTTGAGAGCTATGGCGGTTTTGTGAATGTTATTTTTTATTGATTTCTAATTTTAAGTTTTGTATCTCACATGAATGTGACTTTGTTTTTAGAGTATTCCAAAATAAAATTTTGAAGAAAGGACAGAGTTTAACCTCATGTTATATTGGATGAACAAAATATTGTTGAAGATGTATTAGGTTTTCGTATAGGCTTGGCAAAATAGCTTTCTGAATTTCTAGCCAATCTCATACAATGAACTGTATTTAAATCGATGATATACATTTTCATCTTTACCATCGTTACCCTCGTGGATTTTGACAAGCCCATATGTGACATCCCAGGGGAATCCACAATTATATTAGTCCCACTTTAGTTCTGTAGTGTATTGTGCATTGTAAATCTTTTTTCTTTATCCATTTGCCGTGTGGCTTCTGTCATTTAGTTCTTTCTTCTGTTACTGTAGCCACAACTATTTTTCTGTTTGCTTATCTGATATAACTTTGGTATCTTTTTTATACAATCACTGTTTTTGTGCTTTGAATACCTTACCTTAATGACCTATTAGGTCCTTGCATAAAATAATTTGCAGCTTCCATTCAATGTAATCAAGGTGAGAGAACAGTGTAGGGTAAAGACCCAAAACACCATGTAAAAGAAGAGAGAAAGGGGAAGATGTGTAAGAACCTAGAGAGAGAAGCTTGGGAGATAGAAGAAGAATAGAGAATGATGAAGAAGAAAATTGGAGGTAGAGGGAGACAGATAGCAGTGACATTAGGGATTATCATGATAAATATTTTATATATATTTAATAAATATTTTTCCCTCTATTGAAAGCTGCATACGTCTGTAGTGAGACTAAAATTTCATGTTAGATGTTGTTGAAATCAATTAACAAAAGATATGGAGATGAATTTTGATTAGCATATGTGTCAAGTATTGCTGCTTCTGCAATTTATGTAGTCCAAGGTTGTAGGATGGAGTTACCTATGTGTTGCCATGTTGGAATGAAAATTTATTAAGTCCAAGATTGTATGGTCGAGTTTCCTGCAATTTATTAAGTCCAAGGTTGATGTTAATCTTCTCATTGTCAATCATGAATATCAATTTTTGTGTGCTGGTAATGTAATGCCAATAGTTGGGGAGGAATGAATAGTGAACTTGATTTGTGAAGGCAATGCCGGCTTACCTTATTATTTGCCTAGTTTTTCATGCTAAAACAATTTAGACATTGAGCGATGATTTTGTTACAAATAAACTAATAGATAAGAGGAACATAAACAATCTTCTATAATCTTCTTTGCAGCTCATGGAAAAAGTTGTTCCAATTGTGGAGAAGCGAAGACCACCACGTGTACTGCGGAGAGTCCACTCCATGCAATGGTAGTAATTTATTTACTCCCATGTGATCTATGGGATAAAATAGAAATTCTGTTTTTTATGCATGGTAGAAGGCGAGGCAAGGCAGCATCTTTTTTGGAAAATTATTTTTGGTTGAGACAAATCATTCAACCAACCAGCAGATAATGTTTCTCCGCTACAATGAAAAAGCCTATTCATTACAATCTCAGTGATGAAATATGTTATTACTGAAGACTGGAGGATGATTTCTCTCTGATGATAGCATTGAGAGAAGTGTTCACTCTTCTTTTTTCTTTTTTCTTTTTTTTTGGGTAGTTAGCAGGTATTGTAATACAGGCCTCATGTCCCAGAGGATGCTGGACTGGTATATTGTATTTATATGTTAACAGGGTTATGTCTCAGTGTTTATGACAAAAATATAGGGTTGGTGAATAGTGACTGGTTTTACTTTCTTGGACCGTGTATTATATAACATTATTTTGCAGAATCTGTATTTATTGGTTAATGCTTCGTTAGCTGTTTGTGTTCCTTTTTTATGGTTCTTTCATTTTTGAGGAGGTTGTTTGGCTGAAATTTGGGCTATATGTAGTGACCTTAACATTGTCCGGTGAGGGGTCTCAAAGTTTCTGCTGAAAAAAATAATTGTTCGCAACTGGTTGGAATTGGGAGTGCCTTTAAGTTCATAGCTACCAGTCTCCAAATTTTAGCACCAAATCAAAATACATGGAAACTCATTTTACCTCAAGTTGGTTCATGCAATGTATTCTGTTCTTTGTTTGTTTTGTAATTTTTTTTGGCATGCCAAAACATGAGTTTTTGCATTACTAAAATGACGGAACCACTAGCAATGATCTTTACTTCCTTTTTTTTTTTTTTTTTTTGGTTATTTTTTTTTTTTTTTTGGTTCAATAATATTATGATAATTAAGGCTTCGTTTGGGAACAAGTTTTTTTAGTAATTTTTTGACTTTTTGGCTTTTTAGTTAAAATGTGATATAAAAAAAATTAGTTATGTTTTGGATGATGTTTTGATTTTTTACGAAAAGATGTGCAAAAAGTAGAGAGAATATAAAATCTTTGATTTTTTGATATAGGTTATTGGTTTTTTAATTTTTTTAGTAACTTTTTAATTTTTTGACTAAAAAAAGCCCTTGCTAAACAAAACCTAAATATGTTATCATGTTTTGTTTATATTGGGTACAAAAATGAGTAGTGCAACTCATTAGATCAATAGAATGGTGACTTGTGAGATAATAAACAAAGGGATTGGACTGTTTCTAACTATCAGATTGGATTGTTCAGTCCGGTCAATTTGGCCATTTCATCGAGTGATTTGAGCTGTTGGTTTGTCAAGTATATCATTTTTATAAAAAAATTAAGTCTATTGGATAATGAAAATTATGTGTTCGGATTAATTTTGTAAAAATTATTCACTGTATTTGGTTTGAGTTTTCTAGATTAAGTTTTTTGAAAATTAACTTTTTTGATTTTTGTGTTTTTTTGTTTTTAGTGAATATTTTTTAAATTTTAAACATTTTTTTTACTTTTTTAGATGCACCTTACTTAGATGTATCTAAAAAGTAAAAAATTTGTGAAAAAATATTTTAAACATAAAAGTAATTTTTTGGCTTTCTGGCTTTTTAGTTAAAATGTGATATAAAAAAAATTAGTATGTTTGAGATGATTTTTTAGCTTTTTAGGAAAAGATGTGCAAAAAATAAAGAGAAAATGAAATATTTGACTTTTTGATATGGATTATTGATTTTTTGATTTTTTTTAATAATTTTTTAATTTTTTGATTGAAAAGAGCCTTGCCAAACAAAGCGTAAATATGTTATCATATTTTGTTTATATTGGGTACAAAAATGAGTAGTGCAACTCATTAGATCGATAGAATGGTGACTTGTGAGATAATAAACAAAGGGATTGGACTGTTTCTAACTATCAGATTGGATTGTTCAGTCCGGTCAATTTGGCCATTTAAAGATTCATGGAGTGATTTGAACTGTTGGTTTGTCAAGTATATCATTTTTATAAAAAAATCAAGTCTATCGGATAATGAAAATTATGTATTTGGATTAATTTTATAAAAATTATTTATTTTTTCACCGTTTATTTTTTTTTCATAAAAAACTTATTTACACACGTGGTGTCCGTTATCTGATCGATTTGATTTTTTGTAAGGATGATATACTCGAAGAACCTTATAATGTGAATCGTTCGAATTATCAAAACGAAACTAAAAAATGAGCTCAACAAACCTAACAATATATCTCCAATCCAATTTGAGATTTGAAGGGAAGTCAAATCCATAAAAAATTTAATAAGATAATGTAATGATTATAGCATTATTATTGTTGCTATTATTATTTTAATAAAAGGTCTTACCTCCCTTAAAAATAAGAGCTAAGAAACATTTTTCAACTAAGCCATCCAATATATATATATATATATATATATATATTTTGGTTCTTTTCAAGGTTATCTAAGTGGACCTGTCATTTGTTTTCTTTTGTGATCTGGTTAAAAAAGACCCCTCGAAGTAGAGTCCTGTGTTTGTGTTTGTCTTCTTGTTGTTTGTCACTATTTTTATTTTCTCTCCTTTTGTTGCAAAGTAGGGTGTTTGGACCACATTATAAATATTTCCAGGGTTACAATTCTAATTTCAAGGGGGTGACCTCTGGCCTTTGGTCTATAGCCAGTGTCTATTGTTTACGGCGTGTTGGGCTTGGACTATACTCACCTTTAGGCCAAGTCTTACGTGTCTTCAAAAAGACAAAAAGTTAAAAAGTCACTATCTTATTTAAGTTACATCATCTTATTTAAGTCACATCATCTCTCTAATACATCATTTCAAACCCAAACTAAACTCAACCCATATTTTATAAAAAGTTAAAAAGTGCACTTATTTAAATCATCCCAAACAAGCCCTTAATATCTCTTTATACTATATTATATTATATTCCAGTCCAAGCTACACACCTCTTATGCTATGGGTTAGATGGCTAGAGAGGGCTTGCCTTTTAGGCTCATCTTGTACATAAGTCTTCGTCTCATGCCTATTATTATTATATTCTATCTTGAAACAATTCACAGTGTTGTATAATATCATACTTAAAAGTTATTTTCTTTTTGACCTTAAACATTCCAATTTTTAAGAATACTCTCTTTTCACTATATCTAGACATATTCTTGTTGAGGAAATTTAAGTGCATACATTGTTTTCAGATAATGGGACATATATGTGAGCCAAGGGTGAATTTCACACATGGTGAACTCCTATGTGAGACCTATCTTTGTTCCACATTTTTGTTTTATTTTATAAAAATCTTTGGTGTTCATAGTATAATTAATTCTTAAAAGAGTATAACTTATCTCCACTGGACCATTGCAGTTGGAATTTTACAACCTATCACAGACTCCAATTTATTGATTCAAATTGTTCATTCTTTGATGTGCAGATCATCTATATTGAAAAAAATCATATTGGTCAAATAATCAATTATTTTTATTTTCAAAAAAAAAAATTAATGGTCTATTTTTATTGAACTGTCGAACTTGGAATTGAATTTTTAGATATGAAGTCAAGTCAAGTCATGTTTGGGCACAAGTTTTCTGTGTTTCTTTCTAGTTTTGGCCCGACCCAAACAGTCAATGGCCACCACTAGCAGAATTCTATTTACACCAAAAAAATGTTTAAGTGAGCCAAGCTTTTCATTACACCCTATTAAATTTAGGATTACAATTTATTCTCAATGCACCTAAATAAAACAAATTAAAAAAAGTCAAATTACTTTTGAAATACCCTCCGAAAAATATTTCTTCTATTTTCGCATTCGAACTTCTAGAATCGAACAATAATAATGAAAAATAGATTGAATATTCGCTTTTATGTTAAAAAAAACATAAAAATCAATAATTGTTTTTTGATATTTATGTGAATACTTACTTCCTCTTTGATGAGTTGCTTCAAAAAATTATTTTGATTATTACTCCCATTCATTGTTTAATCTTGTTCAAACTAGGCCCGTAAATGGATCGGATTCGGATCGGATCTGTCAAAATCTGAATCCGATCCGATTATGTCAAATCCAAATCCGATCCGAATCCGTTTAGTCTATATCCGATTATAGATATCCGAATCCAATGATTTCGGATATCCAATCCGATAATCCGATCCGATCCATTTATTTATTTATTGAGCTACAATTTTATATAATTTGATTTTTTTTTTTTTCATTTTGTGTTTTTTTTCATTCAAATTGAGAATACTCGGATCGAATTATCGGGTTATCGGGTCGGATCGGATTTTTGCAGATTCAATCCATTTAATAAATGGATTAAACGGATTCGGATTATCGGATCGTCACAGCTCAATGGACACTATTTATTTACTGTATTGGCTTCCGCCAGGCCCTGTACTCTGTTTTACTGTATTACTGTTCTGCAGGCCTTCGGTAATCTCGGATTACTGGCCGGTTACGGTGCTAAACCCATAGGGCCGGGTTTGGGTCGTGACAGATTCGGATTATCGGATCGAATTTTTTGTAAACAGATTCGAATTATCAGATCGGATTCGGATTAAATCCGATCCATTGACAGCCCTAGTTCAAACTTTCATATATTTACAAGTAATAATATAATAAAAAAATAATGATATTGATGATAATGGTGAGTTAGGGTGAATTGAAGTTTTGAAATGAGGAAGAAGAAGAAGAAAAAAAATAATTGAAACTTAAGGAAGAAGATAAAAAGATTTGAATAGAAAAAATACGCATAATTAATTAAGATGTACCATGAGAGAAAATAATATTTCATTTTAATATTTAATATATATTGTCCTTATTAATAAATTCACATTAAAATATAATAAAATTTTAAATTTAAATTTAAATTTAAATTTAAATTAAACGCACTGAAATAATTTTTGAGTTTAAATAAAATGGCCCACCACTGCCCCCATCTGGTCTAGCTCACGAGAGAGTCTTATGATTTTTTTAAATTTATTTTGCAAGTATGTCTAGAGTATTTTTTAGCACAGAATTACTTTTTCTTTTCTTTTTTTCTTTAGGAATATGGGTTGGCTTTTTAAATTTTTAATTTTTTTTTGACTATTTTAACTTAAGGTTAAAAAGTTTCGTTTGTGATAAATTTTTTGATTTTTTTTATCTTTGTGAGAGAAAAAATAAAATTATTATATTTTAGAAGTGACATTTTATCTTGTTAGAATAAAAAGTCTATTCTATTTTATTTTTAACTATTTTAACCAAAAAACCTTATTTTAACTTATACCAAATGAAAACTTAATTGATTTACTTAGAAACAAACAATTAACATTCATCAATCTCTTGTCACACAAGTATAGGTAAATCTTGTAATATTTTAGAGCTCTCTAACATTATTCTAAAGGGTTGGTTTTCTGCGGTCCATGATCAGATTGGAAAGTATTATTGGGTTCGTGAAGGCCCACCACGAGTCCTGTTTCAATAATTTGAATAGTGAATGTGTAGAACTCGTCACGTACTATATGCTTGTAAAAAATTACATTGATCGGATATCGATAGCTATGTGATCAAATCAGTTTTGTATAAAAAAAATACATGGTAAAAAATAAACAGTTGACAGAAATCTGATCCGATGAGTTGTTATCGATATTTGATCAACGTGATTTTTTACAGACATATAATACTCAACGAGTTTTACACGTTGAACGGTTCAAATTATCGAAAATGGGATCTGTGGTGGATTCTCACAAGCTTAATAGTACCCTCCAATCCAATGACAATATGGAGGAAAGCCCACTATCACATGCTTTTGACAATTATAGATATCACTCTTACTTTACTTCAAGAGTAGACTTTTCAACCATTTTCTTGATTTTTATACTATGACAAAAAACAAAATGACAAAAATACATTAATGTAATCATAAAAAAATTCTTTACAGGTCCTTACAAGAAGTTGAGATGTTTTTGAGATTTTGTGACTTATTAAGAGTATTTTTAATCGTTTATCAGATATTTTATTAAATTCAAATAAAAATTTGATTTGATGCATAACATTTCAATCCTTTCATCAAATTTGGTCGGTCGATCGGTCAGTCATCCAATAGGTCATTCAATCAATCGTCCATCTAGAGTAAATTTTTATCAAATTCATCCCAAAATCAATTATTCAGGAGGATGTCCAGGAAAACGTCTGGATGGATATCAGACCCAAAAATCACCTACAAATTTAATGAAAGGAAAAACACTTCATTCATTTGATGAAAAAAATTATTACTTCATTTATTTGATACCAAACTGATAAAACAGTTAAAATACAACTTTTATTAATTTTTTTATCAAATATAAATTTGATAAAAAAAAAAAATCTAATAAAAGGTTAGAGATGGTGTAAAAAGTCTTCTCATCCCATGAAGCATCCTTTGGTTTTGATACTTCCCTACTGACAACTCTGTGGTTTAAGTTAGCAGAGTACTCTTTTTTGGGAGAGGCTCCTCTCTAGTTGGGATACCAAATTAGAAGGTGTTGTTGGCCCTCTTTGGATTCACCACAGAACTCGTATGGATAATTAAAATCGATTAATGTGTAAAACTCGTCTAGTGTTTCATTCATGCAAAATATTGTATTGATCGAATATCGATAGTCAGTTGATCAGATCACATTTGTATAAACAATTTATTTTAAAAATCGTACGTACCGTTGACACAAATGTAATCTGATCAAGTAACTATTGATATTCAATCAATGTAATTTTTTGCAGAGACGAAACACTCAACAAGACATATACAATGCACGGCTTTAGATTATTGATGTGAGCTTTGTGATAGGCTCCTACAGCACTCTCCAATTCAATTTATATTTGAGAAAAGCTATGGCCTTTTTTTTTTTTTTTTTTTTTTCCTGTGGCACAAAACAGAGTACCCTTTGATTGTACAAAGAATGGCTACTTTGGAGATTTTATTCCTTCTGCCATAAATAAAAAACAAGAAAGAAAAAACAACAATGATTCATCTCACTAAAAATATCACCACTAATAGCACTAATGCATTAAAAAAGTAAAAAAAAAAAAAATACAACTCCAAGATCAAAACATCACATCATTAATGGCGGGACCCACCGCCACCTAATTAGTGGGAGCACTAATTAGTGCTCCCAAGCATTTTTCAAGAAAAAAAAATATGAGAATCTATCACCTTGTGTTGTGTAAAGTAAAGTGCTAAATATTAGTATTAAATTAGTAAAATAACTTTAAAAACCCTATTAGAAAAAATAAAAACAAATTGGATTCCCCACCTTTTCAAAAAAAAAAAAAAAAAAAATTTTATAGTAGTTCACAAAATTGATGATCACAAAACTAATCATTTTAGAATAATAAACCCCATCATCATCATTCATACCACAGCCACCCATATGTAAATGTATCCTCTCTCTGTTTTACCAATCTCCCTTTTTGCAAAAATGTTTTTAAGTTACAAAGAAAATGAGTGAGAGTACTAATTAGTGCTACCATTAATGATGTGGTAGTAGGTCTCACTAAGAATGATTTGATATTTTAGTCTTGGTGTTGTATTTTTTTTTTTTTATTAAGTACTATGTCATTAGTGATCTTTTTAGAACTCCAAAATTAGTGATCTTTATTATTGTTGCGAAACAAAATCATTTGAACTTTTACTGTGAAAACAAAATAGTGATAATAATAAATACACACTCCAATATCACAGGCCCCCATCCATCTCTATCTGTCAACCATTCAAACTCTTCCCGTGAAAGGCCAAACACGCCTGCCACTCACCCTTTTAACACTCTCTCTCTCTCTCTCTCTAAAAAAAATTAAAAAATTGGCATGTTGGATTTGATTTTCAAATTTTAAATTTTTTCAAAAAATTATAAAATTAATTTGGTGAAAAAATAAAAATATTAAAAATACTTATATCATTTTTACACAATTTTGGCCTTATTTGGTTTCTTTTTTGGAAAAAAAAAAATTTAATTTGTTTTGAAATATTGAAAACTAATTTGATAAAAATAAATATAAAAACATATTTTTCAATTTTTAAAAATATTTTTTGATCTCCCAAAAGATGGAATGATGTAAAAATGATAAGTGTTTTTTAATTTCTTAAAAATTATTTATAAAACAAGTTTCTGAAAATCAAACCAAATATGACCTTTATCTTTTAGGATGTCAAAAATAATTTTAAAATATTTTTTTGATATTTATTTTTATCAAATTAATTTTTATTTTTTTCAAAAATCTCTAATTTTTTCTTATCAAATTAGTTTTATGTTTTATGTTTTAGTTTGACTGTTTTCTAAATTATTATTATTTTTCTCTCTTACAAAACAGATTTTATTGGGTTGCTGTTGTGTCTTATGATGTGAGCCTATTTTGGTAAATGCAATTCATATAGCCTCCGTTGGGAAAGTAGGCTGATTTTTTGATTATTTTAGTCTGGGCTAAAAAATTTAATTTGAGAAGGGCTTTTTGATTTTTTGACTTTTTTAACTTTTTTTGTGAGAGAAGAGTGTAATGATGTGCCTGTTTGGCAGAGCTTAATTATAGCTTATTTCAGCTTTCAGCTTAATTTAAGCTATTTTGATGTGTTTAGTTTAGCTTATAGCTTATAGCTGGTAGCTTTTTGGAAGTCAGAAATCAGCTTATTCTTTGAGTGAGGCAAGAGATGCTTTAAGAATAAGCTGGAAATCAGCTTAAGCTGAAAGTTATAAGCTGTTGAGGTATAAGCTATAAGCACTTTCCCACAGCTCTACCAAACAGGACCGATTATGAGTTGAATGTGATGTTTTATTTTTTGTGGCTAAAATAGCCTATTTTGTCTTTTGTGGCTAAAATAACCAAAAAAAGCCTAGAAAAGCTCTTCCCAAACAGACCCATAGTAAGGTTTATCAAAAAAATTATACATAAAAATAAATAAATTAAGACCCATAGTAAGGTTTATCAAAAAAATTATACATAAAAATAAATAAATTAATCAGACATTCATAATCACATGATCAAATTTTAATTATTTTAAAAATAATAGACAATCAATTATCAAAATCATGTCAGCTGTTTATATTTTAAAAAAACAAATGTGATTTTGTTACATAGTTATAAATATTAAATTAACTTAAATTTTTTCATAAATGATCTACTCAATAGACCTTACCGAATGAATGATCTTAATCATCGAAGTAGGCTTGAGATAAATTCACACCAGACCTCACAACAAGCTACAACCCCTCTCTCATGTTGGGATGATGTGCCTTTGATGCAAGGCTCCACTTCGAATCTATTTTTATTATTCAAATTATTCGTCTTATAAGATTTATAGATAAATTATTTTTCTAAAATGTTAAGATTGATTGAATATTAATAATCATATAATTAAATTATATTTATTTTAAAAACCATTACGATAATTGTAATTTTGTGAATAATCAATTCAATCCTTTCAAAATAAATATGAAATGATTATATAACTAGTAATATCTCAATCTAATATTTTGCATAAATAATATTATCAACAGTTTTACAATATAAACAATTAGGACCACAACGGATGCTATTAAAAAAGAGAGAGTCTAAAAACACATGGATTGGTTTGGAAAGTGGGTTGGTTTTTTAATTTTTTGATTATTTTAGCTTGGGCTAAAAAACTTGGTTTAGGAAGGATTTTTTGGCTTTTTTAATTTTTTAATTTTTTTGCGAGAGAAGAATGTAATGATTATGAGTTGGATGTGATATTTTGTTTGTTGTAGCTAAAATTGTCTATCTTGTCTTTTGTGACTAAAATAGCAAAAAAAACCCACAAAATCTCTTCCCAAACGGTGCCATAATCAAGTGCAATTTTGTTATGTGATGAAGGTCTTATATTCATGTGATACATACCGAACACAATTCTTTTACAAGATAAATCTTAGGAAAATTCTTTGGTCTTATGTGTTTCTACAATTGCTTTAAATCTTATGTCCGATCCTTTAATTAATTTTTGTACAAAAAAGCACAAAGACACAAGACTGCCTAAAAGACAGAGCAGGACCCAACACCCTTTTTTCCAGTTACTAGGAGTGCAGAGGCCAAAGATAAAGCCACCAAACTCTAAAGCCTTCCCTAATTCTCACTATCTCTCTCTAATCTTTTTCTCTCTCTCAAAAACAAAGCAAACAGAGAGTTTCAAATTTCAATCATGGAAGTCCCCTCTAGGCTTGTGTTCTTCTTGGTCTCTCTTCTGAGTCTAGTCTTCTCACTTTCTGACTCTGCAACAGTAGTAGTAGATGGAGTTTCAGACTGGAAAAACCCCACTGTTCATATTGGGGATTCTATCAGTAAGCTTTCATTCAACATTCTCTCCCCCAAGAAAAAGTTGAAATCATTTTGTTTTATTTAGTTATAATTGTTAACTAACACCCTCTCTCTCTCTCTCTGTTTCTCAGTTTTCAAGCACAAGTATGATTACAAGCTTTACATTTTCCAGAACAGAGGAGCCTTCAATCTCTGCAACTTTACTCAAGCTTCACTTCTTACCAAACCCAATTCCAACTCCTTCACTGTATGTCTCTCTCTTTCTCTGCATTTGTGTGTGTGTTCTTGCATCTGGGTATTAAGGCAATTTATTTTTTTGACTTTTTTTTTTTTTGTTTTACAATGTCAAGTGGCATTGTGTGTGTGTATATACATGTGTGTGTCTCATTTCTTTGTGTGGATAAACTGTGTTTGAATATTGAATTTATAGGCAAATTTGTGAATGAGAAATGGAAAAACTGAATGAACTTATAGTAATATATTTTTCTAAAATCCCCTTTTAATTTTTCTTTTTGGTTGGAGGATGTTTGTCTTTATTTATTTATTATAAATTCTTCAAAAATTAAAGATTCAAACACAACATATAATAGCATAGTAAAATCTCAAAATTTGCTAATCAAAGTTCATTTATACAAGATTTGTTAGCAGTATTCATTTTTTTTCAAAATCTTGCACATTATGTGTCCAATCTTAAAATTGTCTAACCAAGTAGTTGTTGTTTTGGTAATGTGAAGTGGCATCCATCAAGAACTGGTATCTTCTACTTCTCCTTCAACAATGGCACTCTCAAATCATGTCAATCAGCTCAAAAGCTCGCCATAACAGTATCTCTATCACCACCACAAAACTCCGCCACCTCACCGGAACTATCTCCGGCAGCCTCTCCAGCACCGAGTTCAGGCGGCATTGTATCATCATCTCCAGCATACCCATGGCCATTCCAGCCTCGGGAATCGATGTCGCCAAGCCCGGCTCCGACCGCAATACTCCCAGCAGCGAGCCCAGACAAAGGAGATGGCATACCATTTATAAACAGTAACCCGGCGGTGCCATTGCCGACCGATGAAGTAGACTCTGCTACAATACGCCCTTTGCCCACATCTTCTGTCCATGGAGCACAGGTAACGTTCCTTGATATTGATATTGATCTTGATGTTTCATTCGTACCGAATACACCAAATATGTATTTAAATTTTTTTTGTTATATATATTCTAAATATATTTTTTAAATTTTTATAAAATGATGTATAGAAAAGTAAAGATGAGATGTTGATTGATATGACCTAAAAAAGATAAAAAATAAGGCCTTGTTTGGGGTACCCTATTTTAGTCAATCTTTTTATCTTTTTTAGGTCACATCAATCAAATTTTCTCTTTATTTTTTTACATATATTTTTATAAAAAATCAAAAAATATACTTATTTAGAGCAATCCAAACCACCTCTTATTTTGAGATGCCAAACCACCCTTTAATACATATTTAAATCGTATCTCAATCGAAATAATATTATTAGAAGAATTTAGAAGAAGTAAAATGAGTTTCATTGAATTTTTTTTAAAATGATTTGTATTTAATTTTAATTTGTATTTTTACTTTTGAAATTAAATATGAATAGTAGGTTGAATGTTGAACAAAATAAACATTTAACTAATTTTTACATTATTTCAAAAAAAAAAATTAAAAAAAACAAAAAATTTGGGGGTGTGTTTGGTAACGTTTACGATTTTCAGTTTATATTTACAAAAATTTTATAAACTGATTTTTGTTTATTTTTTGTTTATTTTTAGAAAAACATAAACTACAAACACGTTTGGTAATTGACAAAATGTTTAAAAAAATTTTTTTCTTCATATTACCATATTTGTATCATACTGATATTAGTATTTGTATTCTTAAATGTGTTTCATATGATGTTTTTGTCTAATTCTATATATTTTCCATGATGGCTCCAAAATGTAATTTTCGTCGAGGCATTTATTATTGTTTGAGAGTAATGTTTTTACTGGGCTTTTTATGAAGAAAAAAGATGGCAAAAACTCATTAACAATAAATCTTCGGACCCAGTGGGCGACTGGGGTCGCGTGTGATTGGTAAAAAAAAAAAATTATTATTATTATTATTTTTTTTTTCAGTCAATAAATAGCCGACACGTCAGTGGAGATCGTCAGTAGGAGTCACCCCACTGGGGTCGGAAGCATCACTCTTTAATTAATAAAATAACTTTTTAAATTAGCATCACTCTTTAATTAATAAAATAACTTTTTAAATTGCTTTGTGTTTAATTGAATTTTTTAATTTAAAGGTCATTTAGCTCAAAAAAATCTTAAGGGGTGTTTTGGAAAGTTTGTAAAAAGTTGGCTTTTAGTTTTTTATCAAGCTTTTTAGCTTTTTGAAAAGTGATTTGAGAAGTTGGTAAAAAGTTGACTTTTTACTTTTTAATTTAATATTTATTTATGGTGTCAAATCAAATTAAAATGATCAAAATATTCTTACCCAACATAAGAAATTTTTTTTAAATTTTTTTTCATAGGCTCTAATTTGTAATTTTATACCTGCATTTTTAGCGCTTGCCAAACTAATTTTCTGGCGTTTTTGACACTTGCGTTTTTGGACATTTTGTCCAAAAATGTGACTTTTTGTTATGTTCCCAAAATGGCACTAAATACATAAACATATACACACAATCATTCATTTCCTAAGGTTATGATGGGCATCAACATTGTAATATGCCTGGATTCTTTTCTCATCTACTTTATTTAAAATTTCATAAGCTTAACCATCTAAACAAAGGTGAGAAGTAAAAAAGTAGAGTGAAATGCATAAAAAGCATACATGTATGAATTGAATATTAGGTATGCTTATAATGGGAGACAAATGATGGCATATTTGATTAGATTCATTTTTTTTTGGTTGGAGAGCAGGTGGTGGGCTTGCTTGCACTTCAAATGGCTCTCTCCTCTGTGGTTTTGCTGGTGGTGATATGAGAGATGAGAGAGACAGACAGACAGACAGGCAGACGGAGAATTGGAGGGAGAGAGAGAGAGAGAGAGAGAGAGAGAATTGGGCTGATGTGTAAAAAAGTTGAGCCAAAAGAAGAGTAGGGGTATTGGGCTAACGTGCGCAGGGAAGTGTTACTTTTTTAGTCTAAAGTAGCTTTAATATGGTGATGATTATACCATGTAATTATATGCTATTTTTGACCTACTTTGGGATTATTAGCACTTTCGTTCTTTTAACTCTTCTTTAGTATTATTTTCGCCATGCAATCAATCACTACTACTTTTTCTTTTATATTTGCTCCTTTTTAACCCCATTTTTTTTAATTGGGTTTTCTTAATGGGAATTTGAAGTTAATTACTAGGCTCACATTATCAAATTCAAGTGATAATTACCAAATTTTTTTTATGTAAAAATCATAGGGCCATTATTTTAACGATCTTCTTAACGTCAACATATAATAATTTGATAAAATTATACATTCATGTAATAAAGAATGTATAATTTTTTTTTAAAGTTATTAACATGTTAACAAAATTCTTATAGAAAGTATAAATTTGAAAGAAGCTTGATACAATTTAATGAACCCAAATATAGCATCGCAAAGTTATATAAAATTTTAGGCTTGATTTCTTGTAAATTTGCATATATCAGTTTTTCCATGCAATCAATTACTGTTTTTTTATTTACTCTTTAATAACCCCCTTTCTTTTTCTTGGCTTTTTTTGCTTTCTATGGCTATGATTTACATTTCATAGTTCATAATTCACTTAAAAATAAGCTTTTTTTATTATAAGCTTCAATTAAAATTTGAGCACAGTTACCGATCAAATTTAATTATGAGAATCTATTCTCAATCCATTGTGGCATGCAAGGTCTAGTTCTATGAAAAGATTTGAAGAAATTCTGATAAAATAAACCCAGATTGGGTTGTTTAGGGTGAGCATCTCCAATGGTAGTAGGCATTTTACCTATTTAAACATTATTATAAAGTATACATTTTATTTTGTCTATCAATTGTTTCATGTTCTACTCCAACCATGTTCTTTATTTTAACTATTCATCTAAATACTATTAACTTTATAAAATGTCACATCAACAATAGAGATGAAAGAAAATGATCTTAATGATTAAATACATTTTGCCTAGTCTTGAAAGCTAGCTACATATAGCTAGTAAATGTAAGTTGAACCAAAATGCCTAATCGTATACCTAGTGTATTGGAGTTGAAAAAAGTGAGTCATACTAGGCATTTTAACTAAGAGCATCTCCAATGCACTAGGCATATATTACTTGTTAGTTAAAATGCCTAGTGTGATTCATTTTTTTCAATTCCAATGCACTAGGCATATGATTAGGCATTTTGGCTCAACTCATATTCACTAGCTACATGTAGCTAGCCTTCAACGCTAGGCAAAATGTATTCAATCATTAGGATCATTTCCCTCCATCTTTATTGTTGACGTGGCATTCTATAAAATTAATAGTATTTGGATAAATAGCTAAAATAAAGAGCATGATTGGAGTAAAAACATAAAACAGTTGATAGGCAAAATAAAATATATACTTTATAGTAATATTTAGATAGGTAAAATGCCTACTACCGTTGGAGATGCTCCTAGTGTGTTAGAGATGCTCAGTATACACTTTTTATCTTTTTTGAGTCACATCATTTCTTTACTTTTCTATACATCTTTTCGTAAAAAGTTAAAAAATGCACTTATTTAGATCATCCTAAACCACTTCACAAAAGAATTTAGTCTTGATCACATGGACTTTATTACCATTTTATTAAGTTTAGACCTTTGAGCATTGATAGAGACCCCCTCCAATCACCACCCTCACCACGTCCACACACACGTGGCGGGTGGTGATTGGAGGAGAAGGGGAAAAAAATAGAAAAAAAAACTGGCCAATGGGAGGAAAAGAGGGTCAAAGGAGGTGGTAGGAAAAGGAGGTCTCAAATATTTTTGTACACCTTTAATTTGTAGGTTTTTGCAAATTTTTTTTAATGGTTTCATAACTAAATTTTGGACTGTGAACTTGTTTAATCGAGTGCGCATTCAACAAATTCCAACTACAAATCCAAATCTGTTCAACAAGTTCCAAGTTTGTAGTGAAATGTGTAAAAATGAGTACCAACTTGATTTCATATAATATGATCAGAATCCAATAATTGATGGAACATAATAATCTTCCCAATCTATCTCGAACACTGCATAAAGGTATTGTAATGAATATGTAATCAACTTTTGAAAACCACTAATGACAGACATGACAGTCACTATAAAAATAAAAAGAAAAAGAAAATCATAAAATTTCTTGAGAAATTGTTTTGAAAACCACACTAACAAGATCAACTAATAATTAATGAACCACAAACTTAATCCAACTAATTTGGAAGAACAAAGGAAAGTATGCCATTGGAATAACACAATTTCATATGTTTAGCTCTAATCTCTCTTTTTGCTAGGTGGGCTTTTAGTCCTACTCAAGTGAATCACAAGCACAATTATAGTAACAAGAAAAGCCGATCCTGCCATGATCGGAACACATAAGCTGGACCTTTTCTCCTGTGGTTGCCTCGCTTGATTTGCTTGGTCTCCAAGACGTTTCTCTTTCTCCATCCCTTGAGGCTCATGAACTTCTTGATCTTTCATCTTTGAAGTTTCAATTTTATCATTTTCTTCTTCACCTTTGTCTTCCTTTGGTTCTGCAATAACTTGAGGTGTTTCCTCTCTTTCTAACTCTCGTCCCTGCATTTCACTTTCCACTTGGGGAATTTCGTCATCAGTCTGTTCCTTAACGACTCGAGCTTTTTCAACTAACGGTGGAGGAATTGGTACTTCTTTTTGTTCAATCACTTGATTTGTCACACTTTTTGTTGATTCAACACTCTCTTCTAATCTTCTCTCCTCATGAGCCTCTTCAACTAATAGTGGAGCACTTGGAATTTCTTTTTCTTGAATCACTTGATCTATTACAGGTTTTGTTGAATCACTTGGTTTTTCTTTCTCTGCTTCTTGATTTTCTTTCTTTGTTGCATGAACCTCTAGGCCTGAACTTTCTTCTGGGTGTGCCGCCATTGGACCACCCTGCTCAACTTTTTCAGTACCCAATTCTCCAAACTCTTTATCGCGCACAATTTCAGGCCCACCGGGCTTTTTTTCATCATCTTGATCACTTTCTTTGATTTCTTCAATACCTGGTTTTCTATATTCTTCTTGTTGCAATATCTCACTTTCAGTAACTCGTGATGACTCTGGACTTGCTCTTGCAGCCTCCACTTCTTCCACTTCCTCAACCCTAATCCCGCTGATTCCTTTTACCAACTTTGGCATTGAAATTGTCAGAGTCGATTCTTCTTCCTTAAACCTTGCTTTGATTTTATCCAAATTCACCCCATCTGGAATCTTAAAAACCTTTTTAAAGCCTCTCATCTCTATCTCATTCTTGTACACCTTCCAACCTACCATCACTGTCTCTTGAACCGGCTTTTCGCCATTTATCGCAATTTGAGTCCCATCCTCATTTATCTCTATCTTTATGTATTCTCTCTTGTAACCTGCATTTTTTTCAACATCAACAATTATTCAAAAGAAAAGAACTTCTCATTCAAAAACAAAAGCCATAATTTACAAATAGAGCGCTTTTACAAAATGTTTTTAGAGGTGTGCTTGCTGCAACTTATTCTACTTTGAAAACTGATAATCTATAAGCAAAATTAATTTAAGAATAATCTTATTTTTATTTCTCAAAACAATAGATCCACGAATCTGGATCATAATGCATACCAAATGGTTCCAATGGGAGCACACGCATAATTTACAAATAAGAGTACTTCTACAAAATGTTTTTAAGGATCTGCTTGGTGCAACTTATTCTAAACTAAACATTGATAATCTACTAGCAGAACTAATTTAAGGATAATCTTGACGCACGAGCAAAAATTTCCAGGAACGTTTGATACATTTTGTTTCTGAGCAGAAGATCCATTTTCAAGGTACAATTGATTAGGTATTAATCAATATTCGATACATTTCGTTTCTAAGCAGGAGATCCATTTTCAAGTAGTATACAATTGATTAGGTATTAATCAATATTTGATTGATTGGTCTAAGCTTATCACAAAAAAAAAAAAGATTTGTTTAAGCCACTTAGTTTGTTTTCGTCTTAGTTTTTTTCAATTCATTTAAGCTCTTTTCACCGTATAAACTGTAAGCAGATATTAAAAAATTCGTAAGTAGTTCATTTACACTGCACCAAACACACCTAAGGGATAAGAATGCCTACACCGAGTGCAAGTTGATTATTATTCATATAAAGATGTACATGTGTATAAAGCATATGCATAAACATATATAAATAGACAAACAAATGAAAGAGAAACAGAGACCTTTGAGATGGGCAGTGAGGATGAACATGGTGTCTGTTTCCCTAGATACAAAAGCAGGACCGGCTCGGTCTTTCGCAATTACAAGGTTAGCTGTGGTAAGATCATCTACATTTCTGGAGATCTTGAGTCCCAATTCAAGTTCCATTTTTTGTGAAAATTGGGTTTGATTTTGATTGAATTGAGTTGAACAATAGAGAGAATTGTTAGGTGGAGCTTCAACAAAGCAACAAAAATGTACTACTTACATGTTTACATGTTAGCAAAGCATATGTGCTTTGCTTCTTCACATGGTGGTGGTGTTGAGGCTATTTGAAAACAGTTTTAAAAAGTTGGTTACTTGTTTGAGTTTATTTTATTTGCTTTGAGGGGAAGCTAATGTCCAATTTGTGATTCTTAACTTGATAAATGCCCATTCTTTAGTTACTCTCTGATTAAAAACAGAGTTATTTATACAATTTGAATCATTGTAACATTTAATATATTGTATACGCAGTAAGTCATATTCTCAAACAATATCAGGGCATATTTGGTTGCATGAATTGCCTTATTTCATAACTTTGTCTATTATAAATTAACTTATTGAAAGTTCAAATTTGTGATCTAGTGTTAAGGATTCAAACTACAGAAACAGTCTCTCTGTATGCAGAAATAAGACTATGTACATTTGATACTCACCAAATCTCACAATAGCTAAACTTCAACTTGTATACATGGCTTCTTTTGAATGTAACATTGTGGAAATCAATTGTGACGGCAACCATTGATAGATTGCCCACATTATTGATGTACGGGACTTTTAACTCCAACCAACAAAAACTTTTAGCAATTAAAGCGATTGATGTTGTACCAACAACAAGAAGCAAGTTTGTTGTGATGACCATTGCCCCCAATGGCTCCTCTCATTATTTTCCTTGGGTAGGGTATACAAAATTTTGATTTGCATTATTGAGGAAGATATAGATATTTCTAGCTAGTCTACTGCTGCCAAAACAACAATGGATTACTGGCACAGAATCTTGTGTCATAAAAAAGATATTTATCCTTTGTTCATGTAGTATAGAGACACTATTTGATTTTTATTTTATTTTTAATTTAAAAAAATCAGATCACATAATTATAAATGATGGGACACAAGACCGACACTTTTTTTTAGAACAGAGGATTCCAGTGCTGAAACATTGGCCTACTATAACAAAACTTATGCCAATCATAATAGAGATAATATTATAGGGAAATATTACTGCCATTGGCTTGAACAATAGAACACTAATTAGTTTGGCATAAAAAAGGGTATAATAGGAATAAATATTAAGTATAATGGTGTTATACTATGGCGGTATCACTAACCAATTACAGTTGTTTATATGCTATAATAATATATAGGAAGAGTTTAACAACCTTAGAATGATTGTAGATACAAATTATTCACACATCTTAAGCTTATATTTGGTTCTTAAATCTGTAAAGAGAAAAGAAAGAGGAGAAAAAGTGATTAAGAGAAAAACATTTTTTTTCTTTCTCAATTTTTCCTCCATAAATACATTCACAAATTAAAAATTCTAAAAGAATGACAATTGAACTGCAGGTTTGGTATGGATCATCAGGCAAGAATAGTGGTCTATGTGCCTGTTTAGTTCCTTAGGTTGCGTTTGATTAGCGTCAAAAATAAAAGTAACAGAAAATAAAGTGAAAGTACTGAAAATTAATTTCTTGTACGCATTCTGTTAAGATAAAAATTTTGTAAGAAAATAGTAAGAAATTTGAGAAATGAGATAACAAAGGTTCATTTCCAATAGAAAAAACTATATAAAAGAAAAATACCATGTGCCTAATAGAAAAATTTCCAAGAAGCTGAAAGTCAAGTAATATACTTTATATGAGTTGCACAAAACAATCAACTTTCTTGCAATTTTTAGCACTCTCATATCTATTTTCTGAACTTTCCACCTCTTTCATACCAACCAAACTCACCCTAACGTTCTTGCTACAAAAGCAATTCTTGGCACTTTTACTCTTGTCTGAGAGGGCTAATTGTGCCTAATTGTTTGTTATGAACCAATTTAAAGCACTGAAAAGCTAATTAAAGAGACTTTGGCGTGAATAACCATACAGTGTTTCAAAGCTACTCCGATAGTAGGTTCACCTAAAATTTTCTGCTGCTAACCACTAAACATTTTCCTTGAAATATAGTAGCAGTGTGTGTATCAATCAAGTGCATGCAAATAATGTTAGTTCTGTCCTGTATAATATTTCTCAAAAAGGTAACAGAAAAAACTTAGCCACACAATTCTTCACATTGGCCCAATCTTTTCAACCCTACTGAACAGATAGAAGCTATTAGAATTTAGAAGTAGTTTCCACATAAATAAATATATAAAATTATATATTTTGCATATTCCCAATGACGTATCCTACATTTTTAAAATTTTCATATGTATAGTATCACGTGTCCATGCTTTTAAGATCGTGTGTGGAGGAAGAGAGACTTTCCTAGATGAGGAGCTGAAATGGAGGAAAGCATATATAGATCAAATTAGAAGAGGAAATAGGGCAGGAAACAAGAGAGAAAAACAGAGCAGATAAAGCAGAAGATTTTGAAAAGGTTACATGAAAGGAAAAAATTGTTAACTCCATAGTGGAATCATACTAATCAAATTTTAGGCACCAGAACAGTGGAGAGTTTTGACATGCTCAAAATTTCTGCCAGGTCATCAATCAAGCGGAGTCTCCCTTTGAATGTTCCTCAAAACAAAAAACCTGCAGCAAGTATGCAAAGCAGCATCCTTGGGCGATTTCTTTCATATCATATTTTCCAAATACGCGTTTGCAATTTATTTCTCAAACTCATATTGTTTTGTGAAGTCGCAAACACAACTTCAACTATTTTTTGTATAACTTTTTTAAAGTAGTGTTTTCATAACATGACTTCCAAAAACCAACATGAGTATATAGGAAATAACTTCAAAACATTCATCCTTGGAAGATGAGTATTGGAAAATATTATTTAAAACTTGGTTTGGGTATTTTTAAAAAAAGAAAAGAAAAGAAAAAACTCCATCCTTGGAAGACTTTCCTGATGTAATTTATCTTCTATTACACTCAATAAAATTTGTTTACCAAATAAAATTGTCCAAAGCTTGACCAAACACTAAAAACCAATACCCAGTAATGCCAAACACTGAAATTCCCATCTTTTTCTACAATATTTATCTTTCTGGGATCACAACAGACGAAGCTGAAGAATGAATATCTAGGTCAACGAATCAAATGGAACCCTCTACATAAGGGATTGAGCTTTTGACCAAGTACTTGGAAGATGATGAGAGCACATACCCATTTTTTGGTATGGGTTTCTAAGGGTCGGAATGCTTGAAGACCAAGAAAATATTCAAATGGATTTTCTTTTTCATCTTTCTCTAGAAACAAATGAATTGGAATGAAAAGGTCAAACAGCAAGGCAAAGAAAACTTATTGTCTGCCTTCACCACTAACATTGAATCGGATAAAAATGGACTCAACCTGACCTATTATTGGATTTCTTATTTGGCCGGACTAGGAGGCAAGACCATTAGATGTTCTCATTTTATTCAACTAATGCAACACAGCTCTTGTTATAGAAAATGAACACTCTCATAATACAATTATATACACATACAAAATTGTAGCAAGAACAAGTGCAATCATAACAGCTAGATCATGGGATGCAAATTTACTCTGAAATTTTGATTTTACATTGGCAACACCAATCTGATCAAAGCAACCATGGACCTGGAAGATCCAATTCATATACAAAATATATATATCCTGATAAAAACAAAAACTTTACTTCCTTAAACCCCTTATTCTGTTGGCACATTGCCTCAGAATCGTTCTTTTTCGGAACGCATCCGTCCGCATTGTTTACATAGCGTGCCAACAGGCAACGAAACCCATACAAAATCACTCAGGATGGTTTCCCCTACTAAACAAATCAAGACCCTCTGTTCGGCTACGCACAATCCTATGAAAAACTTCCCTCACCTGTCGTTCCAACGGGTCCAATTCGTCCTTCACCGCTTCAAAAACTTGCCTTAGCTCCTGCACTCTCTGTCTCACCTCTCCTTCCTTAACCGCCGTCAATGGGAACTGAACCGAGTCGGTCAATTCATTCATGTGCCGCGCACATATCTGAATTTGATGAATCTCCTTCAACAACCCACAAGCATTTCTACGCTCCCGCTTCTTTGATTCCTCCAAAATCCTCTCGTGAAGTGAGAGCATTGGAACCGCCCAAACAAACTGCCTTGGTATGTAAAAATGGGTTTGGAGACCACGGTCCTGGCATGGGATTGCGGCCACCAATGCCCACATTACAAAAAAAAGGACACAATTCATCGTGAACACAGCAACCGCGAGTCCATTGGTGGCCGCGATTTCATTGGTTTTCGGGGCAGCTAAGTTTGCCCCGATAGCCTGTAGCTGCCTGGCAGCTGACCAAGACCGTGAAACGCTCCACGACAATGATCGAAAATGACCCAATGATCTGTTATCTTTTGGGATATTGGTTCGCCCGAAAGACCGGTTTCTATGAGCAACATTGGCATTTGATTCCTTGTCATCAAGCATCCCAATTGCCAAATCAATCAAGGCCTTTTTCGAGCGACGAAACTGGCCTTCCCCAAGACTCCTTTGATTGTCCAATGCACACAAAACAATCTCCAATTGTTTCTGCCATTGTCTGATTTGCTCAACCCCATCACGAATCGCATTGCACACATCAAGAGCCTTGACATTTCTCTCAAAAAACTCAGAGAGTAATCGATCCATTGGAGCTCTATTCATGTAAGGTTTGTTCTTGAACAAGACCATTCTGAATTCCTCGTGGCAACAGAGAAACACATCGAGGAGTTTACGAATCCATGAAATTGAGAGCAACCCATCTGATCCAATAGATGATAGATCGTAGAATTGGTCAGCGACCTGTCTCTGAAACGACTCGAGCTCGAACTCTTGGCTCGTAGAGTCATGGATTGTTTCCATGGAATGAACTTGATCGCGCCGAATACTCAGAATCGAGCGACCCAGATTCGATAAGGAAGAAGATGAACCTTGATAATCTGTTGCTGGCATTTCTCACATAGACAAGTAAACAGACACCAGCAATAGATTTGTATATGTATGTATCGATCGATTATTAAAACCAAAAACGAAAAGAACCCAATTTCATTCAAGGAGAGTTGAAAATGGAGAGAGTGACATCAATCAAATTACTACTCCAGAATTGAAAACCCTAGGACAAAAAACCAAACCCAGAAACAGATCAACCCAATTGGACTCAAAAAAGAATTGGGTGAAAATGGACAACAAACCCAGAATCAGAACAACCCAATTGGACTCAAGAATGACAAAACCACAATGAATCAAAAATCAAAACAAACCCAAACAGAGAACAAACAACCCAATTGGACTCAAGAGAGTGACAAAAACACACAAGATTATCCAAAATTGAGAAGAAATAAAACCCAGAGAATGCAAATGAGTTGAGGCTCAAATACTGTGAAAATCAACCTCTAGATTTCACGAAAAACATGGGAATTCAAACGGTATCCAAAATTGGAGAGTGAAGAGAGAGAAAGTGGAGCGGGAGGGGTGTAGGAAGAGCATGGAACCCTAATAGGAGGGAGAGAGGTCTTATATTGGGGTTGATTTGGACCGCGTATTATGGGTCGTTGAAATTTTCTAAAATAAAAAGTAATTAATTAATAAGTAATCACCATAATTAGATAGTAATTAAAAAAGTATTTTTATAATTAGACATTAAAAAATAAAGGAAATTTGATTGAAAAAAAACTTCCTCATAATAAAATTTTAATGTATTATTAAGTATAATAAGTTTTTTTTGAAAAATTCAATACATACTACTATTATTAAAATATTAAATTTTAAAATAACATAATTTTTTACGTAGATGTCGATTTTTAATAAAATTAACATTTTTAGAATGATTTCATTAAGATCTATCAAATAAAATTCATGTTAACTATAAAATTCTTTAAAAAAAATTATTATCGTCAAAATTGATACAAACAGTAACAGTAATATATTATTCTCTTTGATAATAATATGTTATTCTGACAATATTATCTAAAAAATATATATATATATTTTATTTCATCACTACTCAAATTTAGGTCATTCCAAACAACCCTAAGTGATGAAACATACATGTGGTGGTGTTTGGGAAGTTTGTGGGTTTTTTTTTTTTTTTTTTTTTTTTACACTAAAAGACAAATTTTTTGTAAAACCAAAAAAAAAATAAATTCAAACAAAATATTACATCTAATTCTATAATTATTTTGTTTTTTCTATCACAAATATCATATTCAATCACAAAAAAACTAACAATCTTTCCAAATATTAAAATTTTTTTATCTAATAATATCCTATAGCTAAAAAAGTCAACATAAAAACTCACTTCCCAAACACTCACAAAAAAGTGATCTTAATTTAACACGCCTCGTACACGAAGTGGACGCGACTCGTCTATTACATTGCCCGTTGTCGCAAATCCCGATGTGTCTCTCCATTTACTCGATCAGAACCGTCCGCTTGTTGTTTCCCATATCAGAATCTAGCGGCGGAAAAACAGAGATGGAATGTGTATGCTTTTAGAAGACAATAATCATAAAATAGATATCATAAAAAAGAAATAAAAATAAAAATAAAAATATCAGAAAATAGAAATTACAAGTTTTTGTCTTTTAATTTTTAAATAATTATTTTTTTAATTTATTTAAATTATTTCTGACTCATAAGTATAAAAGAAATTATATCAAAAGCACTATAGTTCAATTTATTAGAGTTACTCGTGACTATTTTATTTTATAAGATTGTGCCAAATTACTTGATAAAAATAGTTTAAATAAATTTTAAAAAATTAACTATCTAAAAAAATTTCAATTTTAATTTATAATGCGTTGGGCCAAACAAGCCTAAATAATCTAGCACAAACTTTTAAAATAAAAAACTTAAAAAAAAATTAAAATTAAATGAATTGTACCAGGGCACTAGTTTTGTTATCTGAAGGGTTAGTTTAGGATGACTTGGCTATAAAAATTGAAAAAATTGATTAAGCAGATTAAAATCAAGTTAAATCGGTTATATTTGATCTGTTTTCTAACAAAAATTGATCCGTATGATTTTTAAATTTGAATTTTTCAATTTTTGATTCGGTATCGATTCAAGCAAATGTATCGAATTAAACAGAAACCGACCACTTTAATATATATTGTGTTTATAATATATATATATATATATATATATATATATAATCTCATAATATAATGATATTAATAAGTATGATAAATTATTAATCTTAATTAATTAACTTTATCATCTTTATCAGTTAAATTTGAAAACTCATATTAGATATAATTTTAATTCTAACTCATTATTCTTGAAACCTTAGTATTTTTTACCTTTTATTTTTGTTAATTTAAGAATTAAAAAATATTTATTAAATGGACAGATTAAATATGTTTGAAATGATAGACAAATAATTAATTTAATATTTTTATATAAATTAGTGATTATCTTTAAAAATACCTAAGGTTTAAAAAACCTTAAACAGATTAAATCGTATCGAATTAAATCATTTTAATTGATTTAATTCGATATGATTTAATCAAAAAAATGATCTGTATTAACATTCAAAATAATAAAATTGATATTACTAATCCGATATAATTTTTTACTTAACCATCAACCGTACGGAATTAATTAAAAGGGGATGGAAGTGGAGATCTTAGAGTCTGCCGCGTGGACAGACTTTCATCATTTTGTGTGGAGGTGGAGAATGTGTGACCACGTGGGAAGATGTGATTGGTAACCGTAGGTGACGGGGAGGGAGGACGCAGTCATTGGTTCCACAAATGCAGAGGGTGGGGGCGAAGACAGCTGATTATTCGTTTGGCGCGTAAGGTTTAGGGAGGGACTTGGTCTGGTTTCCCCTTCTAGAAAAAAAGGATAGAAATTTAGAAAATGATATCAAATGCTCTATTTTGTGTAAGAATATATGAATATAATATAATGGCAGCTTCTATTAACACCTTAAAATTATTTTATTACATTTCATTTTTTTTAATTGTCAAATGCTATTTTTTTTGTACTATTAGAGCATATGAATATGATAACATCTATAACATCATTTCTAACGTAATATTAAATGTTAACTCTAACTCTTTCATCAAACTGATATAAAATGTAAAAAAACCAAATATTTCATTAAATGAAGGAAACTTTTATTCTTTATCAAATTTTACAGTTAGCCGTTGGATCGGATGTCCTCCACACATCCTCTCAGAGAATCGAGCTTTCTTTATCTAAACGTCAATTTTTACTCATGGTCGAACGTTCGTCCATTGGGCTTGTACCAAGATTTGATAAAAATTTTGAATTTATCATTAAAATGCATTGTATCAAATCAAATTTTTCATCAAATTTTTCATCAAAATTAATGAAAATTTTGATGCAGCACTAGAGATACTCTATATAGAGGTATAAATTTGGCTCGAGCCGGCCCATTTCAGGCCTCGTGGGTTCCCACCAAAATTCAGGCTAGGCCACGGGCTTGGGTTCGGGCTCGAACTGCGTCTAAACATTTCTTTTTATTTTTCCTATCAAAATTTTATTATTTTTCACCAAAAAAGACACTGAACCTTTGGCGGGCCAGGTCTTGAGTGGGCCTTAAGCGGGCCAATAGGCTAAGCTGAGCTTCAAAATGATGGCCCCAAACCTAGGCCCAGGGTCTTGGACTGGGCTCGAGCCTTGGCCCAAACTGGTCTAAACGGGCCAGGCCCACCCCGAACCGCCCACGAGCCACGGACCATTTTTACACTCCTACAATCTAATAACTCAAATTATTTTATTATATTTATTATTGTTTTAATTTTAATTTTGTCTTTATATGAAATTGTTATTGCTCAAATTTTAAAAATTTAAAATCCTAATTTCTTAAGACATCATCTCCTGTTCACCACTACAACCATTATTGTCATCCACTGTCACGGCTACAGCCCACTACCAAGACTTCCCCCACCATCCCCTCCTCTAATGCTGTGTTTGGTTGGGAGATTTGGGGAGGAATTTGGAAAGGGAAAGGAAAAAGGTGTGTGAAACTAGGTGAAATGTATGTGTATTTTATTCACATTTCATCTAACTTTTCCCTTTCCCTTTTCAAATCTCTCCTCAAATCCTCCAACCAAACACAGCGTAAATCTCCCTTTTACTACCACTCCCATCTCTTGTCATACCCTTCTTTAGGTCTTCCATTTCCCAACCTTTTTCCAACCGGACTACTCTGGACCCTAATCCCTTTTTCTCCTCTTTTGATGTGTCTTTTTTTTTTTTTTTTTTGGGGTTGCAAAACCCTTAAATCACCAAACGATCCCATTCCATCACTATTTGAAACTCTAGTCATCACCTTACTAGATTTGGCTGAGAGATTGAAGAAATTTTATATATATATAATCTCATAATATAATGATATTAATAAGTATGATAAATTATTAATCTTAATTAATTAACTTTATCATCTTTATCAGTTAAATTTGAAAACTCATATTAGATATAATTTTAATTCTAACTCATTATTCTTGAAACCTTAGTATTTTTTACCTTTTATTTTTGTTAATTTAAGAATTAAAAAATATTTATTAAATGGACAGATTAAATATGTTTGAAATGATAGACAAATAATTAATTTAATATTTTTATATAAATTAGTGATTATCTTTAAAAATACCTAAGGTTTAAAAAATCTTAAACAGATTAAATCGTATCGAATTAAATCATTTTAATTGATTTAATTCGATATGATTTAATCAAAAAAATGATCTGTATTAACATTCAAAATAATAAAATTGATATTACTAATCCGATATAATTTTTTACTTAACCATCAACCGTACGGAATTAATTAAAAGGGGATGGAAGTGGAGATCTTAGAGTCTGCCGCGTGGACAGACTTTCATCATTTTGTGTGGAGGTGGAGAATGTGTGACCACGTGGGAAGATGTGATTGGTAACCGTAGGTGACGGGGAGGGAGGACGCAGTCATTGGTTCCTTTTGTTTGTTATGGCTAAAATAGCCTATTTTATTTTTTGTGGCTAAAATAACCAAAAAAACCTGAAAACCATCTTGCCAAACAGAGGCTTACATAACCATCAACCTTACATAACCATCAACCGTACGGAATTAATTAAAAGGGGATGATGGAAGTGGAGACCTTAGAGTCTGCCGCGTGGACAGACTTTCATCATTTTGTGTGGAGGTGGAGAATGTGTGACCACGTGGGAAGATGTGATTGGTAACCGTAGGTGACGGGGAGGGAGGACGCAGTCATTGGTTCCACAAATGCAGAGGGTGGGGGCGAAGACAGCTGATTATTCGTTTGGCGCGTAAGGTTTAGGGAGGGACTTGGTCTGGTTTCCCCTTCTAGAAAAAAAGGATAGAAAATGATATCAAATGCTCTATTTTGTGTAAGAATATATGAATATAATATAATGGCAGCTTCTATTAACACCTTAAAATTATTTTATTACATTTCATTTTTTTTAATTGTCAAATGCTATTTTTTTTGTACTATTAGAGCATATGAATATGATAACA